AAAAAAACAAAACCAAAAAAACAAAGCCGGGCCAGGCTTTTGGTTATATTTTGCTCACCACTAGGGAATGATTGTATTTGTTTAATAGCAAACATGATTGTGTTGTTCAGAAATGTCTCTTTTCTACATATAAAAAGTTCACAGATATATTTTCCTGCCATTTAGATGGGTGAACTGGCCTCAGTACTCTTGACTCTGAAGTGCTTTTTGATGGTATGAGTCAAACTTGCTAGAAATAACCACTTCAGGTCCCCAAACAGGAAGATTTATTAGGCTGCCAGGATATTAGTTTCTTGTGTGCTCTATTTCAAGTGCTGTGTTATGATTTGGTCGGCTCCTGTCAAAAGGATATGGCAGGAATATCAAAGGTTCAGGAGTGCATGGCAAATGAAAAACAAGTGGAACAAATAACTTTAGTCTCTTAAGAGGATGAGGAGCATGATAAAAAGGAAGAAAGTAAATGGGAGCAATGTTAGAGAGACTTGGAAAAGCAACTGATTCATCTCTGTACTGCTCACTAACTGCATTTCTTCATAATGCCATGGTAAAAAAACGCTTATTGATGTCAGAAGATGCCATTTTCAGATTGTGTTCCGATAAAGAAGACTTTGTTTTTTCAAAGTTAATCAGAAAACTATTCTTCAATAGTTTAATAGATTTTTTTTGTAGGGGGGTAGACCTGTGTTAGAATAAGAACTACATAACTGGAGAAAAAACAGCAGGAGAAGTCTTGTGCTCTGCATTCTAAAACAGGTGCTGAGTTTATCCTAGCTTTGAGTTAAGTGTGGACAGTGTTTGATTATGTCCTTGTGTGTTTGGGTTTATTTACATGCTATTTTTTCTCAGGTAGACATCTTTTATGGGCCACTTCAAGCAACTAATAGTGGATTACAGGGATATTGTCATTTCAGGATCTGTAGTTCAGTGGGCCTTTTGCATAGAAGGTGCTTTATGTTTCTCCTCCATGTATGTCTCTGTGTGGGCAAGTTCTTAGTTGTTGGTAACAGCTGCATTCTGTGGGGCTGAACAGCTTCAGACACCCTTGGTGCATTTGTTTGCCCTGCTGGGGGTTTATCCAGCAAGCCATGGCCTGTGTTATGTGTGAGGGACTGTGCTGCCTTCTGACCCATCCGTGGCGTAAAGCGATGTGCGTGGTATCTCTCTTTCTGTATGAGAGATAATGTGATCATGTATTCCTTTCAGAGATCTGAGGAGGATGAGACAAAGTGTCTTCTTCAGCTCAGCAAGGAGGTTATTTCAGAGGGAGATGGAATGGATGTTCTAGAGCAGCTGGATCACAATGAGGAGGAGCTGATTCTTGCTGAATATGAGAGTGATGATGAAAAGAAAGTGATATCTGGGTAAGGACAGGGACTGAGGGGGTTCCATGCCAAGGAGAGGTTTTCTGTATCATTATTGGTTTGTCTTGATTAAAGGGATTTGACCTGTGATTGTGCAAATCTGGAGTTAATTGCCCATTCAAGCTGTGGTTGCTCTGGGAGTTTAATTGGTTGGTTTTGTGTTTTTGAGGGGATTTGCTTTTGTGTCGTTTTTTGGTTTTTATGTTTTTGTTAGATCAATCAGAGTGACCTGAAGTATTTTCTGAGAAAGTACATCTTTCTTAAATATGTGGCAATGTCCTGCCTTTTTCCATGCCTGGTTTCCCAAAGAATGCCTCTGGATGCTGAGTGAATGACTTGAGATCAAGTTCCATGCATTAGAAGAGCAAACTGGAACTCAGGATATCAGAGGAAGCTATCAGTCCTGCAGATCAGCACTGGCATCTTTTGATACTCTGAAAGGAGAGATGTTCATATTTCTAAAGACTGAGCTTCAGTATGAAAACCCTATGCACACTTTTCTCTCTCATACATTTGCTTTATGCAGAAAGCCAGAAGCCATATTTCAGCATGAAAAGTCAAATACATTTAAAATACAAATTTACTAATTAGTATCCAGACAGATGCTTGTGTCTTAGAAATTGCAAAACACTTAACTACTTGTTTATATGTAGTTTATCAAACATTAAACTGCTGCTGCCTTTGAGGAACTCTGGCAGCTAAATACCTTCCTGAAGCTTTTATTTATGCAATATCTTTAGGGTGGTAAATTGTCTCTAAAGGGAAAGTTTTACAAAAATAAATAAGATCACCAAAGAATAGCATAGCACTGATTAGTTTATGCCTGGGGCTTAGGAGCCCCAGATTTAAAAGAAAAAAAATAATTTATTGAAGTTGCTAAAGATAGAGCCCTACAGATATTTTCCTTTTAAATAGCAAGGCTTAACTTGACTCTGCACACTTACCCTATTCTTAAAAAGTTGATTTTTCTTTTACCTCTTGAGTTAAGATATGAGGCTCTTTTTGAGATGACATAACCATCTCTCTTGAGACCTCTCTCTTGTAGTATAGCATCATTTGATTCTGTCAGTGATCTGCTGAAAGGAAACTGTTTGGCCTTTCTCTTTTCTTAGGCTGGAAGATGATGATGATGATTTGGAAGAAGAGCATGTAACTAAGGTGAGATGAAGAAAGTGAATAGTGCCACCTTGTAGAACAGTGTAGGAGTGAGCAGAATTATGGCTTCCTTGCACCCTTCTCAGAGTTACGCAGTACGGAAGGATTTAGGAACTAATATCTAAGGACTGCCAAGTTTGTTGATAATAGTGACTAGTGCTACTGTGCTCTTCTTCTGGCCTACACTGGCTGCCTAAGGAGCTTGCTCTGCTAAATCTGCCAAATTTTTGATGTGGCTTGCTGTAAAAGTACACTGTGAGAAATACGTTTTTATTACTCTCCAATGGTGAGTCCCTGTTTCTATAGGCACCTTGGAAAATTAAATGGAAACAAGGCAAATGAACAGGAGAAGGCAAAGGCTGTTAGCCTCAACGGTTGTAACACTCAAGACACATGACTTCCCATGTGTTTTTGAAGGCTTGAGAAAGATTAACCTTGCTGACATGCTTGCCTGCTTCCTTGCAGGATTGGTTGTACATAGGGGATTGGCTTTCACGTTCGTGTCTTCCTCTTGTTCTTCCTCATGGTAGATTTACTACTGCAGTCGCACTCACTCTCAGCTGTCTCAGTTTGTGCGCGAGGTGCAAAAAAGTCCTTTTGGCAAAGACACGCGTCTGGTCTCCTTGGGGTCCAGGCAGGTATGTGGTACTGTTCACAAGGGACCTAGAGGGCATGTTAACTTAATGGGGGAGACTTTGGGAGGAGGTATGTGGATGTGACATCACAGGAGGCATCTTGGGGATTTCATGCTGAGAAACTAAAGCAGTCATGGGTTGCGACACAGATCTGTGTGATGTACACTTTTCTGTGAGCTGTGTTTTGGCCATTTACCCTTTGATAGAAGTGCAAAAATCTGTTTTACCTTTTCTGATGTGGAATATTACAGATGTCTGAGTCACTGGGAGGGTGCTCCTCTTAGTGTTACTCCTGGAAGCAGTTTTTAGAAGCTGCTGTGTAGCTGTGAGCCATCTCAGTGCATGTTTTCTCCTTGCTAAGGTTTTATGGGTTTTGAGCATGTTTGTAGCAGTTAGTATCCACAATGTCTGACCAACAGACTTTTCCATTTTGGAATTTGGCCTGAGATTGCTTTCAAGAAACCTTCTATTTTACAGCAAAGGGGGCACAGGAGACACTCGGTGCTTAATGACCATCTACTGCTTCCTCTCTTTGCATGTCCAAGAACTTGTGTGTGAATGAGGAGGTGCGACGCTTGGGGGCTCTCCAGCTCATCAATGACCGCTGCATGGAGATGCAAAAGAACAAACATGGTAGGAACGCTTCCAGCTTGGGGAAGCAATCTCTGATAAAGCTGATATGAGAGTCTGGAGACAGTGTGCTCTGCCAATCAGCTCTAGCAAGAGAGTGGTAGGAGCTTGAAAATGGCAGGTTGGAGGAGCAGAGCTAGAGATCCACACTGCTTTTACTTCTCTCATCTTCCAGACTAGGATGCTGAGATCTGTATGTATTTTCCAAGTGCCTTAAGTTGGTCAGGACTTCCCCAACAGAAGGATAATTGTCTCTGTAACTCAGTACTAGAAATACTGGAAAATGTCACGTGGCTAAATCTGGCTGGCAAGAGTAATGTCCATCATGGAGATGCAGATGTTAATGCTGAATAGTATTTAAATAGATGATAGGTCAAAAATACACATGTCAAAGCCTGCTTTGAAATCTGGGAGGTTCTGCAAAGTGGTTGTTTTAGGCTATGTGTTGCTCATGGCTTTCTTTTGACTTCTGCTGTTAGAAAAGAAGAGTGATGAAAAGATGGAAGGAAAGAGGAGACGTGCAAGTCACGCCATATGCCCATTTTATTCCTATGAGCAAATGCAGTTTCTCTGCGATGAAATTCTAGTGGAAGTGAAGGATATTGAGCAGTTGGTGGCTTTGGGAAGGGAGACCAAAGCCTGCCCATATTATGGGAGTCGATACGCCATTCCTGCTGCTCAGGTAAGGCGTTCACACCTTTAGTGGAATTAATGTCAGAGCCTCTAGGAATAAACCAATTGCCTGCTCTCTCCAGAACTGTTATTCAATATTATGGGAGTTTGTAAAGAGGCTGTCTTTCTCTCAGCTGTAGTTTTGCTGAGAGAGCAAAGGAAAATAAGAATATCCATTTGACGTTAATAGAGAGGCTGTAAGTATGTCTCAGCATTCTGAAATACTTGAAAGGCTCGATAACTCTGAGGCAATACTGATGCATGGGTGTAATCTTAGCTCGTGCCACCACTGCTCTTCCTTGTTTGGCTCTCTTGGAGGACACGCTTTCAGTGCTTCAGAGGGCCTTCAGAAGGTAACCTGAGCCAATATGCAGCTGTAGCATAATCGCTTCTCTTTAACTTACATGTTGGTGCCCCTCTCAAGCATATGCTCCTGTCTTTTTTCCTATATTTCCCATAATAATAGTAAGTAACTTG